TAAAATAACACATCATTTAGGTCCTTCTCTCTTTCATGCACTTGAGTTCCTCTGACAAGTCCTACAAAGTTCCTTTCAGTTCCTTGACAGAAAGATGAAGAAAAATATTAAATGTAAGGTGGTGATAGATTCGGTCTTAGAAGTAAAAAGAAACAAATAGAAGTGATATTTGGAGGATGCTAAAATTTTATGAGTTCAAATTGGCAATGCTGGAGTCTTCTACTCCAAAAATAAATTCCTTGGCTTCATAGTATAATTTAATTTTAATGTAAATACTTTTTCTAAGAAAAGGCAAATTTTCAGAAAGATTTTAGCATTTTTTACATTGATGTCATATTATTTCCACACAGAAGCATAGCACATTAACTTAAAGTGAGTAAGTGAATACAGCATGCAGTATGTGCACTGCATGGATATGGCTATTGCCTAAATGCTGTCCTGTCTGGTTATTTAGTTTTAGAAAATGTGTGTTAAATTCTATATCATGAGTATAGTAAGAAATAATGTCTGTGATCCCATTTACATGTAATAAACCCTTACAGCTCATCTTAGAGCAAATGGATATCTTTATCTATAAAATAGTTAAAGCATAGCAGGGAAAATGTATAGTTCAAGCAGGAAAATGTAATGGTACTGCCAAGTTTCCAATTGCTTTATGGAAAATAAACAAGCAAAATAATGTACATGCCCAATTTGTATTCACTTAGACTAGAAGGTAGGTATTATTTCTGCATTTTGGCTGATTAAAAACTCTAAAATTCCTGCTCATTCAACATGGCTGAGTCCAAAATTATTGAACACATTGCATATCAGTGCCATAGTTAAAGCAAAATGAGAGCTTCCTTCATTCAAAAAAATAATTAACTGCAATGTAGCCAATCACCAACTGAATTTTTGAAACTGTAAATCTGATGAGACTTTTGTACCAACCGCGTTAGAGTTGTAAAAGTAATATCCTTTGAAATGAATATACACTGTGTCATTTTTCTGTGTTACACTTAGATGAGCAGCATCACTGAGTCTCACTTGATCCTTAGAAAATTTACTGCCATGAACTTAGGAAAAGGAGTACTGACTGAAAAGGTTGGTGCCCTGATTCTTAAAAAATTATGTGAAATGGTATTTTTTACTAAGAATCTTTGTTAATGATCTCAGAATATGCTATCTCAACTGAAATTATTGTTATTAATCTTGATTTTAAATAATTTTACTGTAAAACAAAAGCAAGTTGAACGCCTATTTCTTGGACAGAATACAATCCCACATCATTAAGTAACATTCAAGACTCTGTGTCTTCAAAAAATAATCCAGAGATACTACACTGGATGCCTGTGGCAGAACATGGGCAAATCCAAGCCCTCCCTCCAAAGCACTGCAATAAACTCATATTCCAGCAAAGGTCTATTGCCAAAAAATCTATTGCATGTCATGATTTATTTACAAGCTTTTGGACTTCCCAGTCCCAGAAGAAACCAAATGTACTTATGGCTTTACCCTACATGGGAGACCAACAAGTGTGGAGAAATCAGAAGGCCTCTCTGTGATCCAGGGGGCCTTCAAGCTTCCTTCTGCCATCGTACTTCAGCTTAAAGGGGACAAGGACACCAACACAAAGAAGGAAGCTGAAGAAGAGGAGGTTTCCTCTTTATTCCTGCCTTTTCTTCCCCAGACCTCTGTGTCTGGGCTGCAGCAGTGCTTGCTACCCACCCAGTCTTTGTGCTTCAGCTTCATCACAGCCTGGTGACTCCCCATGAAGAGGGGGAGTTTGTCTTTCTGCTTGTCCCTCAGGCTTTGTCTCTCACACATATCTGAGGTATATTGGTGCTCTTCTCTCTGAATGGAAATAAATACCTCTTGTTATCTCTTCCCATGCATTCACTTTCCAGTTTGAGTGTTTACTCACTTCTTGTCTTGGGTCCCTGACACCCATAAACCAAGTTCAAAGCCCTGCTTTTTGTGTAAGCTGATCTATTTACAAACACATTCTCTCCCATGAGGGAAAGAGTCATAGTAACTCATAAACATAAAAGCTGGTTTTGGAATTAATTGGCTTGTCATTGTTTATATTTGTAACGTCTTTTAGATGTTACAAATATATACAAATATATGTACAAATATATTCTGTCTAACTGTTAGACAGAATCCTATGTCAGTCTTTCTTTTAGAGTACTGAAGCAAACTGTCCCATGTCCTTGCCCGTTTATAAAAACTGGTGAAAAGGACCTGTGACATCATCAAGTCCAACCAGACTGATCACCACCTTGTTGACTAGACCATGGACAACATAGACCACATAGACCAAGTGCTATGCCTGGATGCTTCTTGACCAGCATAGTTCAAAGCTGAATTATTTCAGGCAAATCTCTGTCTGTGGGAATGGGTGTATATGTGTGGTCATTGTAACTATTAAGCCCTCTCAGGGTCTTGAAGGACAAATGACAGAGCCAGAGATAGACAAGACGCTTCTGATCAGCAACACAGTCTGTCTGAGGAATTCTGTCATAAATGAGTCAGATACAGTGTTCTTTTGGTATTTGAACAGTGCTATTATCAACTTAATGATCTTTTTATGAGTTAAAAGAATATGCATTGAGATGCTGATGCCTGAACATTACACAGGTAAAAGCTTTGTTATTGTCTTTTATTACAAATATAATATTCTATGTATATTTACATTGCTCAGAAAAGATCAGAGATTGATCTAGGTCGTATACTACAATTTTCTTAGCTATTGCACTATGAGGTCTTTTCTTTTCTCTGTTGTTTAAACTGTTTAGACTTAGCAAGCTGGCTGATATTCAGTGCTGCTTTTTGTTCCCAAATTCACTTAAAGACACCTGAACCTAGACCTCTTGTGTCAAATTTCCACAGTTGTTGTAAACAATATTTGTAGATAGCCAAGGGTGATCACAATTGCAAGTGCATGGGAAGCTTATTCCAAAGGCAAAAGTGGAAAGGAATAAGGCTCTGTGTTAGAGTCAATGAGTCAAGATGAGGTTCTTACCATAGAGCTTTCTGAGAATCTGTTCAAAGTCACTGAGGAGATGCCAGAAGCAGGATTTTAAATTTGTATAGCAAAATACAAACTAATTCTGTTGTAAAGAAAACCCTGTGAGTTTTATAAGTACAAAACACGTATATTTTTTTAATAATGGTGAAAATGAAGCATATTATGTTTTTCTCCAGTATTTGTGAATAATTTCAAAATTGGTTCCATTATTTCCCAATAGTGAATATTTTTAAAGTACTCCAAGATCATTATTTGTGCACAGTTCATTCTAGTATTCACCATTTGTGGCTGAGCAATTTGATGCTTACCCACTAGGGGAATCTAATTTTATTAGTTTTAAAAATTGCTTTGCTCAGCCAGAGCCCAGCTAGTATGACCTTTTTAATTGGAGAATAATGGAGAATAAGTTATGGCTGGTGCTTAATGCCACCTTTTAATTACTGAATAAAATTTAAGGATATGTAAATGTCATTCTAATTGAAAATCAATTACTGAAATATTTTTAAATGCCAAATAATACGATCTTGGAACACCAATGAGCAAATTAATTTATTCAGAAATATTATACATCTCCATTATTGTGGAGATGATTATAATACTAATCTGCACTTATAAACTGATATTACTCCTAGCTCTTTCAAAATCCTTTTTAAAATGTCATAACTGTAACTCAAAAATGCTTGTTTTAGTATAACTAACTTTTTTTATTTATATTGGAGTGAGGAAACCTTTGCAATAATCCAGAAGTTTTAGACTATACTAAAAATTCTTAGAAAACCAATTCAAGTGGCAGTTTGCATTTTAAGCAAGTTTTGTTAATGCTTTCAGTCTCCTCTAGGGAATTCTTGCATGTAAAAGGATTTCGGTTTGTTTGTTGGTTTTTTGGGGTTGTTTTGTTTTGTTTTGTTTTTTTAATTAAAAGAAACTAGCCAGATACAAAACTTCTGTGTGAACAAATGTCTAAGCATGAGGCAACATTGAGATTTATGATATATCAATGACAGTGAAGTAATGCTTCCTTGGAAGAAACAAAAAATATCCAAATATATAAGGCACAAGGGTATAATCTTAAAAATTATCTTTCCTATCAAGGAAAGCCTTGATACAGGATCTGATCTCTACTTCTGCTGAAGGCAATGGGCTTTTTGCTATTAGGGCTGTCAACAGTGAATGTCATCAGGCCGCTCCATGTTACAGCAAATCTCACTCATGTCTTTCCAGAATCTGTCACATACCAAAGTTAGTAAGCCTTAAAAATGCCTGGAATGAGTTAACTGACTTTTTACTGTAAAGCTTATTCACAAGTTTTACCAGAACTTCTGAGTTTTGTTAATAAAACAAACTTTTTTCCTTTCTAATCTGAAAGCTTATCATGGAATTGGTGAATAGACAGCAGTGTCTGGCAGGTATCAGTGCTAACCAAGATGTGATAGCTATTAGGTCTTACTATGAAATTACATTAACTAACTTTAGCATCGGGCTGTGCCAGCATGCACCAGACCCAAATAAAAAAGTGTTGTAAAATAGAAAGATTCTCTACAAAATTTAAATCAGATGGAGAGGTCAAGCAGGCTGAGCACTTTTCTGTAATTAGATTGCGATGACTGAACATTTAGGCACTGTTTCCTGCACATTTGCTGGAAGTGACATCAGAAGTCATTAATAGTTCAAGTCTAAGCAGTTTAGAGTAGTCAGATATGGGTTTTTTTTGTTCTGTGTTGCATTTTGCAGGGGTTGGTTTTCAAGAATATATTCATTTTGTAGAAGAGTGACTTGAATACAAAAAACCTGCAGTTAATGTCTAGCTGGCAGATGGGACACTGATTTACAGTCAGAAGTTTTGACCATTTTCAAACAGAGTAATATAAAGCTGTACCAGTGCTGTCAGCTGAGGGTCTTCCCAGCCAAAAATACCTGCATAAAATATTATTTTAATATGATAATTTATAGTGATGGCTGTCCTCTCAAATATCATAACTTTTTTTTTCAGTCTAAAACATATATGTGCAGTTGGCAAGGGGATACCCTGTGTTTCACCGTCGACTTTGCTCTAGGATTTACCTGTTTTGACAGTAAAACAAAGGTAAGAGTAAAAGAAAAGGAAAATATAACTCTGAATTGTTTTATAGTTATTGAAGTTGTCATCTATTGCATTTTCTTTATGTTTATGTCCAGTATTTATTCCGCCAATATACTGTACTATTTATTTATTTACCCCTACTGAAATGTAGTCAGTTTGGGACTTCAAAGGGGCAACTATAGTTGTATAGCATGTAAAGATGCATTTTGAAGATATAAAAAAAGTAACTTCCTTTTCAAGTAATAAAAGCAAAGGAAAATTATATTTAGCAGAGAACTTGGTTTAACAAAGAAACTTAAAAATTTATAAAAGATTACAAGTCATGAAAAAAATGAACTGTCACCTGATTCTATTTGTTTTGAAGCTACAAATATAAAATAGGATTAATTATTCTTCCATCATAAGAAATTTAGGTCATGTCTAAAATAAACAGAATAAAGGCAAATGTTTTTCAAAGTCAGAATCTAAAAGATTACGTGCACTTGTCTTGCAAAAGAGTGGCTATATAGAAAGTGCCTACAGAGAATGGTTAATGATACATGCCAGCTTCCCATACCTATCTATAATGCTACTATTTTCTGTATAACTTAGTGGTACTTTAATGTATATTATTCTAAGTGGATTTTAACGTTTTTTTGATAGTAGAAGAAAGCAAATATACAAAAAATGTTTCTGCATTAAGAGAAATGTTTAGTAGAAACTCGGTCTTCTCAAATATTTTTTAAAAATTCAGTCAGTCATTCTGAGAAAAGAGGGAGCAGACTGCATTTTGAAATACTCATGTAGGATCTAGTTTTTGCATGTTGGCATTTTGTGGGTTTGGGACCAAAATGCCCCGAGATTTCAAATCTATCAAAATCTTACTGCAGAGAAATAATGACCAAAATTGCATGAAAATTTACACTAATTAAGTGTGCATCCCATGCAGCAGGATAAAATTTCAGAACATACTTTAGTATACACTTTTCTCCCTCAGGTGATACTGCATTCTGGAATCCTGCTCTTGCACAATTATACACATTTTGCATGTAACCACAAATTAACTGTGAGAAGTAAGCTCTCTAATGTGCAAAAGGGGTTTCTTTTAAATGTGAAGAATGATTGCACTTACTCTCACCTTTAAAATTATAACCTTACTCTATTAATAGGACTTTGTGTCACAGTACCTACCTTCAGTATTGATGATAAGGAAGATTTAGATGAATTATTGTTGCTTACCTAAGGAGAAACACAGAATACCAGCAGATAGACCAATTCCATTTCAAAACAGTAAAAATTCTGGAGAGCTCAAGTACATTTATTCTTCGTCTGTGTGAGAGATGGAGATGTTCTCTGCATCCTCAAGCCTGAAAGGCAGTACTGGGTGACTTCTGCAGTTGATCTTGCTTCCCATAATTGCCAGCTGAAGTTGACTGTGTTTTCCTATATTCATAGCTATTTTAGAATATTTCCTACCAATGCAAAAAAGATTCTTAAAGTGGTAAGCAAGTAACAGTTCATTAGGGACACAGAAATTTTACTGAAGAATCTCTCTTTTTCTTGAATTTAATGAAAAAAATAAGGTCTTCTAAGGATTTAAAGAATGCTCTTACACCCCAGCAGGTGTTCAAAGAGGATTATTAAAATAAAGGTTCATCCCCTGTCTGCTCTATGAGTCTAAATCTGGATCTCAAATTTTGGGCAACCAGGTCATGCAGTAATTGTAAAGCAGTCTTTTTACACTTTGAAAAACAATTTTAAAAAGGCCTTAATATTACAAATTCTGACATAAAAAGCACAACAATTTTTTGCTTTGGAGTGTGGGGGGTTGACCCTGGCTTCCTCATGAGTCAGGCAAGTGAGAGGAAATACAACTAAAGTCTTGTGGATCCAGATAAAGGCAGGGAGAGGTCGCTCACCAATGACCATCATGGGCAAACCAGATTCCACTTGGGCAAATCAGTTTAATTTATTGCCAGTCAAGTCAGAGTATGATAATGAGAAATAAAAACCAGATCTTTAAACACCTTCCCCCCACACTTCTTTGCTTCCCAAATTTCTTTATCTCCTCCTCTCCAGCAGCACTGGTGGGTTGGAAATGGGGGCTGTAGTCAGTTCACCCCATGTTGTCTCTGTCCTTCCTTTCTCCTCAGGAGGAGAACTTCTCACACTCTTCTCCTGCTCCAGCATGGAATCCCTTTCAAAGGAGACACCCCCCCAGAATCCAGCATGAGTCCTTCCCATGGCTGCAGCTCTTCATGAAGTGCTCCAGTGTGGGTCCTTCAGGAATAGCACTTCCTCCTCCTTCTTCCCTGACCGTGGTGTCTGCATGCCTTTTTCTCTCCCATATTCTCATTCATTTCTCCAGCGCATGAAAAATATCTCTAAAGAACTTTTCTAGAAGAGTTTCTTTTCTTGCATATTCTATTCCAGGCTCTTGATGGGCTTATTTCATTCAGCTTTTATCTTTTTTGGGCTCATCACTGAGCTACTTCTGTAGCCTGCATCTGCTTTTTATCTCATTGTAGAGATTCTTTTTATCTTGTCAGCATGGTTGGCTCACCTTCCCCATCCTGTGCCTCCGGCCTCTCCTCCAATATGAAGGGATCCCAAAGTGTGCATTTATTTTCTGCCATCTTCCAGCTCTCTCTGCTTCTCTTCTTCCCCACTCAGTGTCAACTGTTGAGGGAGATGATGACTCCAGCAATGCTTATTATTACTAAATTGTTCCTAAGTTCTTGATTTGTCTCCACCGTAGCAGTTATTACATAGCAAACATTCATCTATCCTGTTTAGAGCCAAACTCATTTAAGCTTTTAATACTTTTCAGGTGCTATAATTAGGCCGTCTGGATCCAGTTAAAGTCTGTTCATGAATGTAAAGTTTAAGCACCATCATGGTGCTGTAGCATACTTCAGTTTTTCTTCATCTGTTATATCTCTCTAAGAACTCAGTGACACTTACGCCTGCAAGGAACCAGGAGACAGGTTTTTTTAATAGGACATTCCATTCTAAACTGTGAATAGGGTTCTGAAGCCCACTGGTAGCACTGGTCTACTTAACAAAAATATTTTGAGAAGAGGCATGTTGGAAAATGGAACAAAGCAAACTTTTTTCCATGTATGCAATTGAAACATTTCTATCTCAGAGAATTTCAAAATAGTTTATTAATGAATTTTAATATTGCATATTTTGCTTTCACAAAGGGTACAGAAGTGTTAATTTTAACTGCTCTGCAAAGAGCCTGTTATCATGCACCACATTACTGCTGTAGTGCTTTATTTTAGTACATGAATATCGACCATCCTTCTATAGTTCTAGGTAAAAACATGTAGCAGAGTCCTTAATCAAATTTCTTTTTCTTTAGAATGTGCTGTGGAGGTTTAAATTCTCTCAGCTTAAAGGCTCATCAGATGATGGGAAAACAAGAGTAAAGCTGCTTTTTCAAAATACAGACACCAAACAAATTGAGACAAAGGTAAGCAACATCCTCTTTTTCAATTTAGCTAAAGATGACATAAAATTACTGTCAAAGCATCAGAAATCCCATTTACTGGGACATAGATATGGTGAACACATCACAGCTTATCTTTTTTTGCCAATTCTTTAGAAACTCCACAATAAACGGAAGCAATGTAATACCCATAGATTTATTGCACTATTTCTACAAGCCAGTTATTACGTTGTGTTATGATAGTATTTTACTTTTTCAGAAAGATAGTTTATCTGAAGTTATTCTGTCAACCTATAGTAGATATAATGTCTAAAAATTGTGTTTATAAAGGATAATGTAAAAATAAAATTTGATCCCAGGCTTGCTGTTGAATAAAAAAGACATTTTTTCAGTTATGTGGTTTTAAAAAGGAGGAGAACTTTGGCATGATATGACATAGAAAAGGAAGATGAGACTGTGGTTCAAATGGCTTTTGGTTGACAAAAGCCAGTGTAATAAGAAAAAAGTATCTGAAGACCTATGAACCTTTCCAAATAACTCTTACCTGGAGTTGTACAGATTAAAGTCACTTATAAATTAATATTTTTCTATACTGACCATGCACAAAAGATATATGTTACCTATCCTTCTAATGTTTAAAATAATTGCAAGGAAGAAGTCCATAACCTTCCTTATTTGTCACAAAGTTACAGTACATGCAATATATCTTTCTTTATACATCTGTATTAGTAAATTATTCAGGATTTCATCAGCAAGCTTGACCTGAGTTGCCTCTTGGCTCTACAGTGAAATATATTATAAGATCTGTTACAAAAGGTACAATACATAATAACTTATCCAGTAGCAGGTCATTTCCACTTCATGTCTCACAGTAGACCTTGGAGACAGAAAAGGACTACTGTCTTCATTTTATATGTGATCATCTGTTGCTGAGAGCTTACTTAATTTGTTTAAGGTCAGACAGGAAGATTGTACTCATGCATAAACTACTTTGTGTATCTCTGTGTGTTAAATCTTTAGATAGCCCTTGTGTGTGATTAGCCAAGGGCTGCAATTCCATTGCTTGTGATGGAATTCTATTACTTTAATACTGTATAGTTCCTCTTTTTGTTGTAGCAAACAATCTGTTTTTTTAAATTTTATTTTCTTTTTATTTTTGTGCAAATTAGCTTGTTTGTAACTGGTTTTACCCAACTTTACTCTTTGATAGAAAAACTGTAAGTGTTAGTATTTTTATGAAAATTTAGTTATCTGTAAAATTGTTATAAGTGAATCTTCATTATAATTTTGCTGTAAATTTTGTTCAAGAGACAGATTTGCTAAAACACTAAAAAATATTCTTTTACATAGCTCTAATGAAAACATCTTGTAGTTGGCAAAATTCACCTTGGAAGTATCAGATGGAAGTTGATATGGGATCGGTTCATACAGAATTCTTGATATCTGTGTACCCAAAAGTACATATGTGTTGCAAGATCCCAGAAAAAGTTCATTAAAGGCCAGAGGAAAGGCTGATACAGAGTAGCTGAGGATTTATCAGAATTTCAGTGATTACACCTTTTACAACCACCTCTGCAAAGTGCAATGTAGCCACTAGGATTTCACATTTCATGGGACTGGGACACAGCTGTGCAGCCTCTCCACTTCAGATAACTGGTATATATCATCAGCTGTATGCCCACCACCTAATTGGAATGAGTTCTTAGACTTGAGAGTTACAGGCTGGCTGGAAAATGCCCAGCGCTAATACTCATAGTACAATCCAGTAGTTGCCTCTGCTTATTGCACTGAAAGAGATTTCATAGGGCCAGGTGGTGCTATATGGTGAAATGCAGCCAGTAACAAGAAATAAAAATGTTATCAAATAATAGAGGTTACGTTTTTCTTGGGTAAATGAGCCACTATGCACAAAAGAAGCTTGATACAGATGACTTACATTCCCTTGGTGGAAAACAGAGAGTCAAAGTTGCAAAAGAATTTTCCAAACTATGTTTAATTCTACATCATTATAAATTCTTGGGAGTAAAAAAAAAATCACACTTGGCAATTCTATTTTTGTATCTTGTTTAGTAGCTAGATGTGATGTTTCTTCTCTTATTTTGGCTTCTAAATCTTAAGCCAAGTACTTCTTCCTCTGCACTTTAGTTTTAGGTGAACAGTACATTCCTCCATTTAAAAAGTTTTCTGTTGAAAGAAGATAATAAGGAAAAGATTCCTGTCAGTTTTTTCTCTTTCAGGTTCTTCATATTCCCTACAACTTCTTATAGTTTCCCACTTCAGTACTTCCCTGAACTTACCCTGCCTTTAGTATTGAGAAATTACAAGTAATCTTAGTAGATATTCTTTACCCAAAATGTCAAGGTTTCTCATAAAGAAGAAAAAAACTAAGATCAACACATCCATGTTTGTACTGATGCTTTATTTCCCTTCACTAAACTGTAGCTATATATCTGAAAAATAAGACTTTTTAAAGTCTTTAAGTCTTAAGACTTTTTCAAGCCTATTTAAATTGAGCATTTCCCTTTTCTTTTCATCTTACTTAGTCTTAAATATCTGTTGAAGAAAGATAAGAAACCACTGTGGTCAATAGAGTATTGTGATCCATACTGAAGTCTCAGCTAGATGTTGCTGGTCTCATAAATTTCTTGTTTATTATGAGAAGATAACTTAAGAACCCTGCATATTCTTTTCATCCATGATATGGCAACCAAGCCCTGCTATATTTGCTGAGATATAGAATCAAATTTAGAATTCTGGTTTCCATTTTGACTTTGATGTTGTCTGCAGCTAAAACATCTTTATTTGGGCTTTTAATCTGAAAAAAAACCCCAACCCAAACCGCACCAAACCAACAAACAAAGAAACAAACAAACAACAACAACAAAACTCCACAACAACTAAAAAAATCAGTCTGATTGGAAAACATATCTTGAACAATACAGTGGTAACAGTTCTGCTCTGGTCAACAAATAACATACACTGAGACTTACCAGTGTCCCTAAAGTCATGAAATGCACAGGGCACAACACTATCTGTCAGCATCTCCATTATTTGCCTTTCATGTGATATAGGCTCATGTCTTGTTCAAACAACGATTCAACAGCTCTCAGAAGTTCTCAGTAAAATTGCATTCATGGTAATAATGCAGCAGGCCTGTCAAGCTCTTTATGACATGTAATAAATCCAACTCTCCTAGTGGTTGGATGAAATAAGAACATATATTTTTCTTCCTTGGCTGTGCACATGCAGTGAAGGAGGTCAGTGCATTGTGCTCATTTTTTGTATTTTCAATACCAGCAGGAAATTTTGCAGTCTTGTCCTCCCACTGCTTTAATCCAATTTTTTGTATTCCTCTCCCAGTGTCTTCCTTCCAGCGCTTTTGTTGTACTTAATCTACTTATTATGGTACATACAGTAAACTGAAAGAGCTTTGGTTATTGAAATATTAGACATGCACAGATTCTCCTTAAAAACTGACAATCTCAATTAAAGAAAAAAGCAGCAAACTCAGATAAGGAAAGCAAACACAAGGGTACTGTTAGATGGCATAGCACAAATAAAATGATCCATTACTCATCTGCCTGACTGACTACAGAGACTCAAAAAATGAACTATCAGAGCAATGTATTTGTTTGAAAGAAGTGTCATTGGTGTTATTTTCTAGGAAGAATTCATATTGCATTTCAAAGCTAAAGAGGCTGCATTTTCATCTATAAAACTATATTCAAGATAGCAAGAGACATATTGTGTCCCAGTCTTCAGACTATGCAACAGCTACATTTTCCCAAGTCAGAAAGACATCCATAAGGATGTCTTTCTGACTTGGGAAAATCCTTGGATTTTACTAAATCCATATTTTCAAATTAACCCCCTCTTCCCCCTTCCCTGTTGTAATCAACATGTAAGCAAATCCTTACCCCAGCTTATCCTTAGGTATGTGTGACTATTCCTCATTATCTGCCCCTGACTACCAGGCTGCAGGATTGCAAAGGCAGCCAGAACAGGCATTGAACATCCTTCAGACACAAAGCTCCACAGCCTTACCCCATTAGTGGACTTCTTGATCAAATACTACTGTTATAAGCTGCATTTCTAGAAGCTTCTGGTGCATGAGGCCTCAGATGAGCCCCACCTTTCTGATGCCACCATGGGTGGCCACATCTAACCAGGGCCTGTAAGATAACATCTCCAGAGCTCTGCTCCTGTTTCATGATCCCAGAGGATTGCCATCCCTGCACAAACCTAAATAAAATAGTGAAGATGTGAGAGACAAGAGGTGTGGAAGAGCTGCTAAACTGCATGAGGAGTGCTTATATGCCACACATTTTGCTTTTCAGCTCTGTAATAACTTTCAAATTTGGGACCACTCTTGAAAATAATCCAAAAATAGGGAATTTGCAGTATTAACTGCAGTAAATAGTGTTGTTGTCATATAAAACATAGATTTAGTGTTACTGCTGGTCTTTCACCTCTAAGTAGATTGTATCTTCCAGAAACAAGAGCATATTAGTATTCAAAAGGTTATTCACAAGAGATTAGACAACTTCTCTCAGATACAGAGGAGAGGCTACTGCAGTTTGATCCATGCTCTGAACTGTGATGGAAACAGAGAGGTCTCTGCAGTTGGAACATTGAGGAAAACTGACTCACAGTGATATGTTCCTGTCTTTGCCCTTTACTAAACCCAAAGGTCTCCAAATAATATTGTTAGAACAGTCTGAAATCCTGTCCACAGTCTGTGTTGGGTTCCCTCTGCTTATCTCTATAAACATTTCTCGATTGGAAGTGCATAAAGCTGGAGAAGAGAAATAGGAACTCTGGGAAGGGCTCCATTCTCTCAGTCTGTTTGGCTGTGTTTCGTCAGGGTGTTAAATGTCAGAACCTAAGGTGAAATTGTTGGGTGATTTCAGTTGATTTTGGAGCAAATCTAAGATTCATGGGAATGGTCATATTTTTGAATTCCTTGGTTTTGAAGACGGAATTTCAGTAGATGTAAAACATTTGATTGAGCCAAAACTTATGTATTGAGGCTTATATTTCATACTTCATATTTCATTAATAATCATAATTGTGTATATAACTTTAGTTTTCTTAAACTTAGATAAGGAGATTTAAATAGTGCCATTATAGGGTTTTTTCCTGGAAGTATTTATATTAATTTATATTAATATTTAAAGTCAACATCTGCTGTCAATAAAATGTATTTTAAGATACCTCCTCCCATATTTGCTCCTCAAATGTCAGTTAAAATGGAAAAAAAACAGGAGCTTTTTGCCCCCAGAATTTAGGACAAAGATGTCACGGGCTCAAATACACTCACACTTTCCTCTGCTCCACTATGGCTTCTCCATCAGTTTCAATCCCTTCGGAGGTGTTACCTGCTCTGCCATGGAGCACCCTCTACTTCACATGCCTTGTTACATTTTTGGGGAATTTTCTGCCCTTTGTTACCTATGTTTACCCTGATGCAGCCCTGTCTCACTGTAGGGCTGAACCATGACTGGTGGTTGGACCTGGCTAGAACCTGCTGTATCTGGCACAGGGCAGCCCTGGTCTCTCCTGGAAGAGGTTGTGCATGCAGGTCCTTCCACTCCCAAAAATTTCCCAGTTGTGCCCCAAACAGGGTCACGAAATCATGCCCCACAAATACTAGTGAACAATTCATTAGTAGGACCACTTGTGCCAAGTAAATACTTGGCCTTGGATAGCAAAATAGTGTGATGGTGAGCTTTTCTGGGACAGTAAGTTTGAATTCCAAATATTCTGTTTGGGCCAATTTTGTTTAGAACATATTGCAAAATTCTGTTACAGAAAAAGCAGAAGTCCAGTGCTTTGCTTATTGCTTAAAAACAAGCATAGAGAGTGTGCCTCAGCAAACCAGTTAGCCAACAGATTGTTGAAAATAGTCTTCTGCTCAAACCAAAAATTTTCTCAAGGGTCCCCACAATATATTTACCAACTGCAGACTTCACACACAGTGGTATCACTTAAATTGAATGTGTTTTTTACATTACATTTGTCTTTTATGTTATATTTGCATGTCATTGTGTCCGACTATCCTCTATTACTGTATGAGTTCATAGGGAAAAGAAAGTTAATTTGTGCACAGAAGATGAAATATGTTGTAAAAAGTCAAGCGAATCTGAGAGCTGTTTAGGCATAATTCTGCCTTTCTTTGTGAATCAGGGCATCTGAATTTCATACCCACCATGTTTGTTTCTATCATTAGGGTGTGGTGTTGATAGTGGAACGCTGGAAAAAGTTAAAGATAGAATCTAAAATGTTGGGCTTTGTGCTTTCCCAGATCAACTACACCTGCGTAAGCAGTATGATAAATTATATAATTGTTAGATGTGATGATTGTTTAGTAATTAAATGTAATTATTATATATCCATAAGAAGAATAGTGGGAAACTATGTTGGAAATTCAGAGAGGGGCTACATTTATGTATACAATAGAACAATATAAGTTTAATAATTAACATGAAAGTTATGTAACGATAGAGTATAAAACATGATCATTTCGGATGTATGGTCGGAGTCAGATTTGGGTTGAATATACCCCGATTCCCAGAGTTCTTAATAAAAAGCACCGCATATAATCCTCCGTGATTATGTGTTTTTGAAAGCTAACAGTGTGACTTCACCTTTTCTTTCACCCTGCCTCTGGCTTCTCATCTGTCCTTCAGAGGCTGACAAAAGATGTGATCTCCTCACCCTACCCTTCTAGATACCTCATGATTCTCAAACAACCTTAACTTGTCGTATACTTTAATAATGTTCAACAAGGCTGAGTGTCGAGTCCAGGCAGTGCTGCAGGCTGAGGGCAGAGTGGCTGGAAAGGAGCCTGGTGGGGAAGGACATGGGGAAAGGGTGCCTGGTGGGAAAGGGGGTGCTGGCTGACAGCAGCTGCACATGAACCATTGTGCCCAGGTCGCCAAGAAGGCCAGTGGCATCCTGGCCTGGATCAGCAACAGCGTGGCCAGCAGGAGCAGGACAGGAATTGTCCCCTGTACTCAGCACTGGTGAGGTCACACCTGGAGTCCTGTGTCCAGTTCTGGGTCCTTCAATGTAAGAAAGGTAATGGAGCTGGTGAAGGATTGGATGGGCATGACATTTGAGGAGTGGATGAAGCAGCTGGGGATTTTCAGCTTGGAGAAAAGGAGTCGCAGGAAAGGTCTTACCACTCTCTATAAGTGCCTGAAACAAGTTACAAGGGATAGGATGAAAGGAAATGGGCTCAGCTTGTGCCAGGGGAAGTTTAGACAGAATATTAGGAAAAAAAATTCTTCACCAAAAAGGTTGTCAAGCATTGGAACAGGCTATGTAGGGAAGTGGTTGAGTCACCATCCCAGGAAACATGTCAAGTGTAGAAGTGGTATTTAGTGGCATGGTTTACTGGTAGACTTGGTAGTCCTTGGTTAATTGTTGAACTCAGTGATCTTCAAGATGTTTTCCAACCTGAATGGTTGCACCTATGCTGCAATATTTGAATATTCTTTCAAGTTCACTAATTTCATTGTACAAGCTAAGTACAATGTAAACAATAAAGTATCACAGAGTGAAAACTAAATTGACACACAGCACTGTCAGTAAACAAGGTATGGATATACAGATTTTATTCGTAACAATTTTAATTTTACAGTTTCCTATAAAAATTTAATTTTCACGTTAAGGCCATTATTGTTTTCTAACTAGTCTACTCTTTATTCATATAAAATGTTTATAAACCTGAATTGAATTCATTTTTTTCTTTTTTTTCTCTTACTTCTTTCAGGAACTTGAATTTCAGGATCTGACGGCAGTTTTACACTGTATTCACTCCTTTATAGCAGCAAAAGTGGCATCTGTGGATCCTGTATTCATAGACAGTCAGAGCATTGCAAGAAAATATATGTACAGTAACTGATACTAGATTATATGTTGTGACTATGGAAAATAAATTATTTTCTTAACAAAAGTAGTTATTTCATTCACGATATTGCAACTTGGTGATTTTATAAAAAGGCTCTAGTTGTGTTATCTGTAATGTTAAGAGTTCTCACAATCTGATAAATATTTTGAATCTATGAGTTAAAAATATGAGTTGAATCTATGAGTTAAAAATACTAAGTCAAAGCTTGTTATCTTCACCATTGATCTAAAATTCCAAGTGAATATTTGTAGAGTCATTTTGATTTCTGCTCTTATGATGATACATTCTACCCCATATTACATAGTAATTTGGAGTAACATTTGAAAAGTGTACGTCCAAAATTTGGCCTCTAAGTCTGTTTTGAAAAGTGTTGGGCATACAGACAATTACTACAGCCTTCACTTTAGAAAAGAGGTAATTATTGAAGACAACTGCTGTAGGAATCGAACTTTCATCTTCCTTCTATATCCTTGAAAAATTGCAGTTCTGTGACTGGGCTCTTTCAAGGTCTGAGAGTTTAACTCTTGCAAAACACTGAATACTCTATTTCAGATCTAGGAACATAGCTAAGCACACACTTGGCTCTAAGAATACTCAGTAGCCCCAGTATTTGCAAGGTAATGTTAAGAGTGTATTTGTGTATCAGCTGTGAAGAGCTTTAGACTCAGCTAAGCAGCCTGACTATAGACGCTTAGTTTTAAGAAACTTGCCATAGGGTTTTCTTATCTTTTAATAAAGCTTCCATTCATTTATTCATTAATAGATTGACTTGACACCTATCCTTAGATCTAATGCTCTGTATGCTTGGGAACAGCTTTTATTTGGAGAAACATGCTTCCAAGATAAGATGAACATAACAAAACATAAATATTTTTCTGGGACATCTGCCTTTCTTTTTCCTATAGCTTTAACCTTGACACTTATTCAAGAAAAGTGGATTTTGTCCTTGCTGAGGAAAAAATATTGTGTTCCTTTTGACATATGCCTAAATTTCCTTCTGAAATCATAATCTTAAATGAACAGATAATACATCCTGCAATTGAAAATATGATTAAAATAGAAGACATTTAATCTTAGGGCAAATTCCCTGTAAGTGATACCAGATGTTGCAGGTTTTTCTGATAGGAGTTTCTGTTTTTCTCACTTGCACTTTTGAGGCAGCATCAAGAAAATAAAACAATCAAAATCGAACAAGTAGAATATCTTAAGTAGAAGCCATGGATAAGGAGTGAATTCATCAAAGTCCTCCCTAAATTTTAGGAGTCTTAGAAGATGCCCTGATAAAGTTACAACCTGAAGTTCCTGTAGCCTAACGAAAAGAGGTTGGTGCCTTTAAAAGGTCTCAAGTGAGGACAGTTATTACATAAACTCAGTGCTTAAGTTTAGTCAGCTAAATTCTCTCTGTCAGGTCCTGATCTGTCTTTTCAAACTGCAGTGGGGCACTTACTTCAAACAGATGCTTCTCTGTCCACCTAAAGCTTGGGCACAAATAAAGTGCCTGATGCAGGTGATTTAATCTTGCCAGGAGGATTACATGTTTCTAAGCGTTATCCATAGAGAAATTAATTTGAATGGTGCAGACTCTGTTTGTAATTCCAGTGTTGTTTAGAGTTCCAGTGTTGTTTGCATAGAGGCATGCTAACTCCTGGTAAAGCAGTATTTAGCAAATGTGAGAAATATTTTTATTATTTTAAAATAAATTTTTATAGCCATTATTGTATCTTTAACATACATAATCTCAATTTTATAATAACTTGATTTCAAGAAAATAATTTCAAAAGTTTACGTTTTTGAACATGCATTTATTGAAAATGTTTCATTTAATTCTCAGCTTTCTTTTTTATTTTCAGCTCATTGTATTTACTGAGGTTTTAACAGTCACAAATTACAGCATTAACATAATAATATCTTTATTACAACCAATTCTCAATTCAGTTTATTAGCGTGAATAATTAGAAGAATCACATTTGTTGTAGGATGAAGAATTATGGAATTAATTCAGTTTTGTTTTTCTAGTATTTTCTCATAGACGAAGTTCAATAGTAACATGTTAGTTATAGTAGAAAACTGTACCAGCTAGTTCTGAACGGGTACTACAGTCAGGCAACTAGACTTAATGTTTTAAGAATCATGTAATCATAAACTAGCATATCTCCCCAAATACTGTAATAAAACCTTAAAATAAATTAGGCCTAATTTATTAAATAATCTTTCATTTCCACCAAAAAAATGTTCTGCAATTCAAAAAGAGCATTATTGATTCTTTTTTCAAAACCACTGGATACTGCACTTTTCCATTAGCACTTTCAAATTTCTTATATGAAGTTGCTGATGCTGATTTTAATTAATTTTGTTATTATTTAATGTAATTTCTAAATTCTTTTAGTCTTTTGATGAGCTACTGTTTTTGCAACACAGTACTTTTCTTCTTCATGTCCAAATCAATCTCAAGGAATATTAGAGAAAAAATTCTTATAAATTCACCATCTGAAATTCAGCATTGTATTTTAGAAATAATTCTTCAAACATATTTTTAATGAGGAGCTTGAAGATCAAGCTCAAGATTAGCTCACTTGCTTTTTTCCTTTCTTTCACATTCTACAACACTCTCAAGGCAGGGACTAAAGGCCAGTTTTTTGAGACAGTTGCCAGAGGCTGGGAAAAGCTAATGGGTTGCTAGTTTTTTAGCTATTATATAGGCTGAGTAGGACTTCCATAGCGCCTTGTGTTTCTTAGTCATATACCTCATATTTGAAAATGTTGCATTCCAAATTTGTTCCATTGCCTATGTTTCTTTGTCAAAGCATATAAATTCGTCATTGCCTTCAGAATGTGGATCATATATCATGCATATATTTTTCTCTGACAATGTTTTGAGTATCTGCACCACATTTCAGCTGACAAAACACCTCAAAATAGGAAAATACTGGGATTCACAATTATATCTGCAGATAGAAACCTTCCACAGTCACCCCTCAGGAACTGTGGGCTGAGGCAGAGGACATCTGCTTTAGGCATTTCAAATGTCAAATATTTAATTTGTAATGAGATCATAAAACAAATTTTTATATTCTTTGTTACATTCTTGTGATATATTAAGCTTTAGTCTTACAATCTCATTATGTATTTGAGTATAGTTTTCCTTTATATTTTTCTAGGGTGACAAAGGTGTAGCAGAATTGAATATGGAGTAGGAAAAGACAACCATTTATGGAAGCAGCACCATAAACAACAGACTGGGGAAGGAAGCATACAAACATAGTGTTATAAAATTGGGCCCCATCACAAAATCAAGATACAACTTTTGATTGGAAATGAGTAAAAACAGGACAGTGTCTGTATGTCTGAATTATCTTTATGCCTTTATAAACTCAAGACTTGGTTAAACGGCTAAAAATGATCCCATCTACAAAAGTGATTTTGAGCAAATGGGTAGTAGTGTTGATTTAAATTAGAACAAGGCTCATCAGTGACTTATAAATTAAGGAGTGGTACAGCCTGGACTTAGGCACTGGACTTGAATCATACTGATGATTTGTTAATATAATTTCTGGATTTTTTTCCTCTAACATGATTAAAATCTGTTGAAAAAAATCCTATTTACAATCAAGCTAAAGTCAGCTCAGCTCTGTTCTCAGTGCATGGCATGGTTGTGCTACCCTGTTGAAAACACCAGAGCATTTAAGAGAGGGAACGTGGCCAGGGTGTGCCAGATGGCCTCAGGGATAAAAAACAAGACCTGACAATTTTAGTTATAAATTTAGATGTTACCAGAGTACTTCACTGACTTAATTTGAGCTGTAATAATTTGTTTTATTTTTGCCTGTAATTATAAAGTCTGAGAGGCTGAGGCTGTGGTGATCCAAAGCTCAAGTTATGGAAATCTGACTGAATTCTTCTAAGGTTAGGATCTTAGAAAAAGGATTTCAAAATTATTCTTAACCTTGAGCCAGTAGGCCTGAAGCTTAAAAAATAATTTTCTGTGGGAGGAAGACTAAGCTATGCCAAATTTTGAAACCATTAATCTAAAATCCTGTATTATATCTGAAATATATTAATTCAGAAGTAACTTCAGACAAAGGCATGCTTTTTCCACAAAACCTTTAATGTGTAATCTGATTTTTGCAGTGCCCTAAGCAGAATTTAAAATTGCCTGAATTTAAAGTACATGTCTATAAATGCTTCTATCAAAATGTTGTCAGTATTTTGTAACACTTTCCTGCCCACCTGAGTATCTCCTCTGTCGCAGTGCTCAAAGTGAGGTGTGTCTAATGGCAATGCAATTTTTCTGCTTTTTGTTTACTTCTGTTGTTGATTTTCTGTTAATATAGTTTGCCTGTGTCCTCCAGTAAGCTTTTTCAGAGCAGAGAGGGTGAATGTTAGGAAGGAAGCACTTTTCTCCATGCTCTCTTGAGAGGCAAAGTGGTGATTTCTGTCCCTCTTTCCTGTGCATGAGAAATGGGAGAAAGCATTGAAAAAATGGAAGTAGGGGAGAAATGGACAGACAGACAGACTGTGAAATCTTAAAAAACTTCTTCACTTAGGTATACAAAACACCTCTTGGAAATCAATTGTCTTCATGAAGAAATTTATCTTTCAGTGTAGTTCTCTTACTTTGAATTGCTATTATTGAGCTATGGATGCTGAAGAGTTAAAGGCTCCAAAGAAAAAATGTAAAATATATTATGTAATTGTATTTTCTTAAACAATGCCTCAAAATGTTTAGGTACTTTTGTGTTGAAGCATGCAGACAAGCAATTATCTTATGTGAACTAAAGGCCTTGTAGTAAATTTACTAAGTGCAAAACATATTTGTGCAGCATGCAAGGTGAATTCAAATATGTATTTTAATATGGTTCAACCACAAAAAAAATCTTAAGTAAAATATTTTTATGAAATTTGAAGTTATCAAATTCCATGGACACGAGCCAAAATCCACTGCTGTTTTAAGTTCCAGTAAAGTATACAGGACTTTGCCTGAAACAAAAATATGTGATTTTAAATAATAAACAGAGAAACCAAAATGATTTTCTTTTCTAATATTCCCTCGGTGCACAGCTGCCTACATGTTCACTTAAAGGATTCATTCCTGCTGAAAACACTGCTGACTTTTCAGTAGGGAATCAAAATCAGAACTATTTGGGCTGAAAGCCATAATCTTTTTTTCGGAGCAGCTGTCACAATGCCCTGTACAGGTTGCACTTATGCGGGTACTCTGACCTCTAGTTTAAATGGACCACAGATATTTTTTCAGTGCAAAGACATGATCTATTGTGCAAGTCTGCACATCTGGAGGTGTGAGTGGCAGAAGCATCTCAGCTGCGTAGGTCTCTAGGATTGCAAGACAACCAAGCCAGGAAAGGAAGTAAAATGGAAGAACTTTTTTTTTCTTTCCTCACTACCAATTATTCTTGGAACATTATTTCTCTTATATTTCTAGGCTACTAACTGACTGTTTCTTACAAGTCTCTAAATTCTCAACTATGACGGAAATGTCATACTTGATATTTATTAAGGAATTAATGTAGAAATTAGGTGTCCAGTATGTATTAATCATCTGGTCTCAACCCCATAACCAGTGGATAGAAACCAGCAAATCTGAGTAGTGCTTCATTCCTTACTGCAATAGATGTCTAAAACCAGAAGAATAAATTATGTTCTGAGAAGGCATCTTTCTCCATCAACAAACTATACTACCACATAGATTTTTGACTGCTCAATTTTCTATAGATAGGTTTAATATCAGATTTATGTACCAATACAATAAAAGTAGCAATCATGAGCAATGTTGCAGGATTATGGAAATAAAATAAAACAATGCTGAAGTGAATAAAATTTAAATCAGAATTTTGTCATCCTATTTAACTGACAGAGGAGAGGAAAGAAAAGGTCTTAGCCTGTTTTACTAGCTATGAGTTACTACATGGGGCATCGTAGAAACAATTTCTAAAATAATACAGTAGAAATTGTATTAATTCATAGATGAGTTCTGTGTCTCAGGAGATGCACTGACTCTTGGAACACAGAGCTACTCATAAAAAAAATATTAGAGACATTCTACTGTATCTCTAAGCACTTTGTTCAATTAACATTCAAAACTGAGCTAAATTACTACTCTACAACATCCATAAGTAGAGTACATAATCAGCTCACTGTTTTCTTTTTGCAGAGAAGACAGACAAGTATTCCCTGGTGGAGTGAATATGAATACCAAATTGGTTTCAGGGATAAAATTTTCCCTGTCTTTTAAAGTAGAAGTCCTTTACTGAACCAATTCTATCCTTTATTGCTGGATAGAACTGGAAAAAGCTGCTCTTAAATTTTTCTCACTAAGACTTGGAGAAGTGCTGTGACTTGCATCTGTCTTGTACTCTAACTGTTTTCAATACTATGAAGAATCTTTGGAATGAAGGCAGAAACTTTCCTTATTTGCCTAAAACAAAAAGAATGGTGGCTTCCACAAAAGCCCCAGCAGCTATTAGCACATATCACATCATATTGCTTGAGATATATTGATGCTTTCACAGAACTCAAAAGAGGAAATATGTGCAGCCAGAGAGAAGTAGGAAACAGCAACATCCAAATGACTTCAGAATTGAATCTCACAGACATTTCTGGGCTTCAATTCATTATTCAAATCAATGATTTTTATTGGCATTTGTATTATTAATATTATTAGAGATTTATTTCTCCCCATGTCCGGGATATTCATAGCATGTTGAAAGGAAAAGTAATCAGATTAAAAACCAAACTTATATTTAATTTGCCCTTTACCTTTCTTTGGTCCAAGACACTGTAGAATTTCATTTAGCTCACTCCATAGGGTAGGTAAAAATGCTCTTATGACAGCATCAGATTCTGGGTTCCTGTTCAATCAGAGTTAATTTATTCCCAGTCCTGAAAATAATTTTCCTGAGTTTATTTGCTTGTTGTATTCTTTTGCACTTTAGAGTTTTACTAAAAGCTGAAAATATTCTTAATATTCTTTTGTTTCATTACAATATTGGTCATCCTAATTCTTTTAAGCCAAGTGCTTCTATGTCTTTTGTTGCCACATTAACCATTTTTATTCTTAATTTCCTTTTAATTTCTTAATAAATTTCTCACTCAGTGTTTTATATACTGTAGAGAAATATCTGCAATTGCAATCAGGAAATTATCCCTAAAAAGACAGTTTCTGAATGGTCATATGAAAAGGATCTAAACAAGGTTTCTCTGCTTTAATCATGCAGATTTTTTACTAATTTTCTTCTTGGAAAAACATGTATCATACTTCAGTTTTATCTGGTATGTCATAGTATGCACAGCAGTGTAGTAGGTCTTTCCCATGCTAATTATTATACAGCCTTCAACAATATGTGCCTTTCATTAGTAGTAAATCCATTTATGTGGCATGTTTTATTGTGATTTTACTTAATCTATCTTAAAGACACATAGGTTTTCTGGGCTTTTTTTCTTTATTTAAATAGCATGGCCAGTCACCAAGTGATCCTTTTCACTCAGAATTGCTTAACTCCTCTGCCTCTGCCTTCAAAGAAAATGTTCTCCCAGCGGGACATGACATCTTCTCTTTCGTAACAATACAGGCAAGTAGCTAAGGTATAGATGTTATTTTTTTTCAATGATTTTCAATAAGCACAGTCTATTCGCTACCATCCAAAGCTGCATTACTTTCCCAATAGGCTGAAAATGCCTGTGTGGTAATCTGTGTCTCAGAGAGAGTCCCATTTTTGCCTAATGTTTGCTAATCAGTTTCTTAATTTTCATTGGTGCATATTAATCTGAATAAACACTACCCCAAGATTTATCATACCACTGCCATTCTATCAAGGTCATTTTTCTGAAAGATTATATGCTGTGTTCATTTGTCACAGCTCTTTCAAAAAAATCTATCAAAATTTTTTTCTTTCACAGGTACATTTTCATTTCTTGGTCTGAAAAAATTCAATTGCCTGAAAAAAAATCTCTGTAGTTTTCTCCAACAATTTGCTTAATTTATGTTATTTTTTTCTCTTAATTTTCCTTTTCTTTCCCTTTTGAAAAAAATGAGAAAAAAGTTACATGTGGAATAATAAGTTGCATGCTCCATCCTATTTTTCTTATTCTCAGATTCCTTTTAATCCTGACATTCAAAACACACTCAGAATTATGTCTCTGTGACAGGAAAACACACCATCCAAAATCAAAAATTAAGACTTCAAACTGTGTGAAATAACCTCACAAGTACATACATGGGCAGGCTACTGTACACTATTGTTTGACACCAGAATTTGGAAATTGCCAGACCTGTGTGGAACTCAACTTCAATTATCTGAACTGCAAATAAAATTGCAGCTGAGGAAATGGGTGTTTCATTAAATATTGCAAAAACTAGGAACATTTCTATAGCATAAGGGAGAGGGGATATTTTGGTATCAGGCATGTGGGGATTTTTTATATTAAAATGTTTTGCAAACCATGTAGACATAACTACCAATTTGTGTCTGGCTGTTTTTTATCACCTAGAAAAGCCAGGGACCAGTAAAAAATACATAGGAAGGAATTTCCCAGAGTAATTCAACTCTTCAGAAAATTTCTTGGGTAGACAGACATCTTGTCTCTGTCATTTTAAAGCATCATACATCAGACTTTAAAAGCTGAACTCTACCTGACAGTATAACCCAGAAGCATTCACTGTGTGCTACTTGCAATTTGCAGACAGAAGGATTTTCCATCAGAGATCAACTTCCATCTAACAAAGAACAAGCAAAAGATGCATTTTAAACACCCACAAAAACGACACAGAGCTTTAAACCAGGGTAAGATAGAGTCATAAAGGTTGGAAGGGATCCCCAAGATCATCAAGTCTAGCTGCCCACCCAACACTACCACTGTAACCACTAAACCACATCATCCAGCTCCAGGTCCAGACGCCTCTTATAAACACCTCCAGGGATGGTGACTCCTTCACCTCCCTGGGCAAGCTATTCCAATGCCTGGCCACCCTAACAGTGACATTTCTTTTCTAATATCTAATCTGAATCTCACCTGTCTCAGCTTAAGGTCATCTCCTCTTGTCCTCTCACTGCAGGCACCACAGAAGAGACCAACCCTCACCTCACTGCAGCCTCCTCTCAGGGAGTTGTAGAGAGTGATGAGGTCCCCCCTGAGCCTCCTCTTCTCAAGACTGAACAAAATGAACTGTCTCATAGGACATGTTCTCTAGTCCTTTCACGAGCCTTGTTGCCCTTCTCTGGACTCACTCCAGGACCTTAATGTCCTTTTTGAAATGAGTGGCCCAAAACTGGACACAGTACTCAAGGTGTGGCCTCACCAGTGCCAAGTACAGGCAGACAGCCACTGCCCTGGCCTTGCTGGCCACACTATTGCTGACACAGGCCAGGACTCCATTGGCCTTTTGGCCATGTGGGCATACACTAGCTCATGTTCAGCTGGTTGTTAACCAGCACCTCCAGTCCCTTTCTGCTGAACAGCTCTCAAGCCACTCCTCCCCCAACTGTAGCACAGCTAGGGCTTGTCATGACCCAAGTGCAGGACTCTTCCCCTTATTGAACTTCCTGCGGTTGTCCTCAGCCCATTGATGGAGTCTGTCCAGAGCCTTCCTGCCTTCCTCAATCAGATCAAGGCTCCCTCCCACCCAGCTTGGTATCACCTACAAATTTACTGAGGGTGGACTCAGCCCAATGTTCAGGTCTTCAATGAGGATGTTAGACAGGAGCGGTCCCAGCACCGAGCCCTGGGGAACACCACAGGTGACAGCTGCCAGCCAGAGAGCTCCACTCACCACAGCTCTCTGAGCCTGGCCAGACACACAGCTTTTACTCTTCGAAGAGCCTACCCCTCCAAGCTGCCAGCAGCCAGCTTTTCTGAGATGGTGTCAAACACTTCACTGAAGTCTAGACTACATCCACAGCCTTTCCCTCATCAATTAAGCTGGTCACTTTGTCATAGGAGAACATCACGTTGGTCAAGCAAGACCTTCCTTAGGTGTTGATATAACTGTAGTTATATCAACATATATATATCTGATATGTTGTATGTTATATGTTATATATATATAATATATATATATATTATATTTTACTCTCTAATATATGTTATATATTATGTATTATGTATGTGTGTATATGTCTATGTATATATATATATATATATATATATATATGTATATCTCATATGTATATAATACCCTCTGTGAACACTAGTTAGTGAGAACAGTGAGAATCCAAACTGTTAAATGTCTTTGGGGGTTTCTTCACAGGAAGCTCAAGAAACAGAGTTCCATAATCAACTTCCCTCTTGCTGAGCAGGTCTTGCAGTGGGAAGTAGATCCAGCAGTTCTAGTATTATGTGTGATTATTTAGATCATGCTTAATGAAAATTGCTAATTTTACAACACTCTATTCACATTAGGCATTCACTTTTAATTCCTAGACCTTCACAGTTGTTTTCTGAGCATATTTCAGTTAATAACTCCAGCTGGCTAGGAGTCTGCCTATAAATGATTGCTGTGCCTCAGTTGATGAGTGGAAGTTGTCATTGAGCTGTAATAGCTTGATTACCTATGGTTGCTTATCTGTGAATCTATCCTTGGACTTCTCAGGTCAAATAGATTAGCCCCACTAGAAGTGCGCTTCAGTGGTGGGTTTGAAATTAAATTAAAAATATAAGAAATTTTCTGCAAAATATTCTTAGGGTGGTGAGTGCAAGCAAGTAGTTGCATTAAGAGTAGAAGAAATTAAGCACATTTGATGTACTTGAAAAGTCTATTGAAATCCATCTTTAGGTTTTGAAACTCTAAGGATTTCTAGTCTTATAAAAATGAGTTGTTTTGTGCTGATGGCAACATAATTATGCAGCGTAGGAAAGTCATAGTTCAAGTTGTAGTATTGTCACATTTTCAAATGTGAGAGGTCATTCAGAACACCTGTCAGTTCAGCTGCATCATTGCTTATGTTCCTCTCTTTAAATGCATGTCTGACTCATTTGTGTCCTTATCCAGAGCCATCACCACATACTCCTGGAGGCCCTTCATCCTGTTTATTCCCTCATTCCTACATCAGAAAACAAAGAGCCACCATTTCTCATTTGCATTTTGTCTCTGATTTTTGAAAGTGAGGCGGTTTTATGTTTAGACCTAGAAGAAAAATGCTTTCCTTCCTTGAATCAAAACTAAAAAAAAAAAAACCAAAAAAAACCCACGAAAAAGAGGCAACAATTCTTTTCCAACCCAAATGGTTCCTATGTTTCTAAAAGCTATCTCAAAGGGGAAAAAAACCCCTTTAATTTAGCACAGTGTTCCTAAATATTTTCTACATTCCCTCAAGCCTCCATGAATTAGTCAAATGGGATTACAAGCAGTTTAAAGGTGCTAGCAAGCAAGTGTGGCCTCAGCCTGTCTTCTACACTCACACACTCACAGGTTGAAACAAAGGTATAATTCTCAACTGTTACTAGGTTACTAGGAGAAGGAAGTTTAATATTTTTAGAGAAACATATACTAATTTGACTTCTTTTCCTGCACTTTTTTTGAAATGTTCTGCCTCAACCAAAAAAAAAAAAAAAAAAAAAAAAAGTTTTTCTGATACTCTAATTATAGGCTGAATTTGGAGGAGTACTTACTGGGATGAGTTAACCAAGTAGATTTCTGCACATCCCAGCAAAACTGTTGTGCATCTGGCAGTACCTCTCAACCAGCAATCAATCTGCCCAAGTCCAGACCGCAGAGACTTGAAGCTCCAGGATCCAGCACTTGGGGATTACTCAGCCTGTCAGTTTTCCTGCCACCATGCTTCATTTCAGAAAACAGGCCCTGGATTATAGAGATGTTTGCAAGTTCTTCTCATTTAATAACAGTGGAGCTTTAGGGGTAACCAGTCAGAAACCAGTCAGAAACCAGTCAGAGAAATACCCTTTTTCATTAAAACTTCCCATACTGCAGATTAGGGCAGAAGCAAATTCACTGTTATGAAGTACTGAAAATGAGTGGTGCCTGAATCTCCTTTTCCTCTTTGTGTCCCTGATTGTCTTGGTTCCATATGATTCCATGATTTTGGCTGAGCATCCTCAGCTTTTTCATCGCCATGATGATCACAGCACCCACCACTGTTGAAAACGGTACCTGTTCGTGCCAAAGACATCGAGCTGGGCTAATTCACTGTCTAGAATTTGTGCAGTTGACTCTTGTTCACCTTGTAAAGGCAACAATGGGCTAATTTTAAGTATATAAATAGAGGGCAGTCTATGGGAGCGACTTGTCATTTAATTTCCAACATTTAATATTTACACAATGAATTTTTTTTGTTGGAAACAAGTAGTTGTGTTACAATATGCGATTACAGTCTTAAAGGCAAAATTTACATAAAAACCATCTTTTAAATGAGATAGCTGCATTCACAAGGCTCTTGTCTGTAGAACACAAAGCTCTGCAAAAGCACATATAAGTGCTTCTAACCACCTTTTATGTACGATCAACTTACTGCTGTTGAATAATAGCTGTGGCAGTGTTTGAAATAAAGAGCTCTGCTCTATAAACAGGTGCACCACTGATATTTAAAAGTA